GGACCTCCTGTTTATAAGGTGGACTTCTCTAAAACTATGGGACTTGTTTCATCACTATATTACAACTTCTCAGTATTAAAATTATTGTCATTCTTATGTGATAATTGTTTACCCTTTACGTGGGCCAATGCTATTTTGTTTGATTTGTATTGTGATGATTATGTTTACACATTAATCATAAAGAAATTAATACATTGTTTAAACATAATAACTTGTGTCTGACCTCTTTACTCTTCTTCTATTCTTTGGACATCAATATATCCTTTAAGGTGGTATAGACCCGTACAGTTATCAGTGCATTCATACAGGCTTCAATATAAATTCTGTATATTTTTTCAAACTGAGTTAACCGGGGAATACCTTCATTGCTGCAAAGAGTTTGTAAGGCTGTCCTGGCTCATTCAAATCACGGAATTAAATCGAAACTGACAGCCGCAATGGATGATTTTGATATTAATAGCCAATACAGTTTAATTTAGGCTACTCTGAAACTGTGAATATTTCACTTTAATTTTATTTATATTATTATTTTATTTAACAAAAAATTTTGTGTTTTGGCACTGAAGCCAGGCCTATATAGGGGACCTCAAATATTGTTGTTTGTAGTTAACTGGCCAACAAAAAATACATTAAAATTAAGATATCTTACGTATACAAATTATACCAAACAAAATTCGTTCCAAAAAGCTCATCTTTCCAACAAAAAAAGCCTATATGAAGTGTATTTTTTTGTTAGGGCCGGTCTGCTATACAGTGCTGTGGATGAATTGTTTTGCTAATAAGGATTTAATTATAGGCCTATGCTCACTGTAATTTCTGTATTACAAACATTTACATTTTAAAGTTATTATTTTACGAATTATGTCATCTGCCTTTTCCTCGGTGCGGATCACAATCGTAAAACTGTCGTGCTCGGAAATCTTGCTCAGCATCAGGTGCATAGCAGCAAAAATGGCTGCAAACTATAACTTTTTTTTTAATGATAAATTGTAATGATAAATGTCTAATAATATATATCAAATAATAATAATTAAATGCCTGGGTGCTGATCCACAGAGGACTAAGACCGGAGAGGTCAGGAGCTCAGATTTGGTAAATAAAAAATTAATAATTATAATTATATGTTTTTGTATAATTTATGCATAAGCAATGGATGAATCAGGCATAGGCCTATGTTCTAGTATGTGGTTCAAATGATATGTAAATTTAGTGTATTATGTTAAACAGTTATTTTAAACAAAAAAAAATTAAGATCATCGTTCTCTTTGACAGTTGGATTCTACTTGCATCATTCTCATCACCTGCAGCTGCTGCCAAAGTGAAACGCGGCGCCTAGCTGCGCCTCCCTCATATCTGTAGTAAGATGTCCAGCTTATAGGCTAAAGATAAATTGATAAAATAACAGAAAATGCACTGACAGTTTATTACAAAGTTTTTGTAGCATAATATACAACACCAGCCCAGACAATATAAATTAATACATAAAAAAAAAAAAAAAAAATCACAAAATACTGAAAACTGTTAATTTACAGATATGTACTCGACATTAATTCAGCAAAAGTCTCGAAAGGAATTGGCTTGCTGCGTGAGAGAAAATGTGTGTGTGTTCCAATGAACTCTTATTCTGGCCCTGCTAACAACTATAAAAATAAAAACTAAACAATTAAAACTATATAATAATAATAATTATTATTATTATTATTATTACTTATATAGGCCTAGCTTGGAAACAATCGTGCAAACCAAGTGCTGCTCTCAAATCTTTTGCTCAGTATCAGGTGCATAGCAGCAAATTTGGCGGCGAACTATAATAGTAATGATAAATTGTAATGATAAATGTCTAATAATACTGCTAATATATTATATATTAAATATAATATATTAAATGCCTGTGTGCTGATCCGCAGAGGACGAAGACTACAGGACTGTTATTTTGAAGGCGACGTCAGGAGCCCAGATTTGATTGACCAATCAGAGGAAATGGGCGTTTCAGAACCGCCTACATGTGGATAATGAATTTTAAAGTCATTTATCCGTTTTCCTACCCTAAACCAAAAAAAGAAAATCGAGCCAAAATCAGTTATTTAATTTTTTTGTAGCCAAATAAAAAAACGAAAAACGGCCGTTTCCTCGTTTTTTAAATTTCGATTAAGATCAAAAATTGAATGAACGCAACGTACACGGACCCAAATCCAGTTCATAAATTCAAAACTCAATTCATAAATACGCAAATCCAATTCATAAAATTCAAAACACAATTTATAAAGACACAAATCCAATTCATAAATTAAAAAATATGCAAAACACAATTCATGACTTTAAAACAATTAATAAATGCGCAAATCGAATTCGAAAATTCAAAACCCAATTTATAAATATGCAAATCCAATTTGTAATTACTAGGGATGGGAAGATTAACCGATATGTATCGATACGCGGTTATGCGCGTTCACGATGCGAGTGCATCGGTTGAGCAGCAGAGGATGAATGAAATTTTGGAAGCAAATCGAGATGCATCGGTTTTTGCGAGATGCATCGATTTTTCCGAGATACAGCTTATATTTTTAATATAGAATGTATTTTTTATTTATTAACAAGTGTTGTCAACCTGTTTTTGGCGCATAATTTAATCGACCTACATAAAGTAAGCCTTAGCAACGGATTTGCGGATGTGCACACACTACAACTCAGTGTATCAGGTGTGCGGATGAAGCTAGTGGAGCGCCCTCAGAAAGCGCGAGAAGCAAAACAAACATTTTATTCCCCACTGAGTTTTAAATCTAAAGTATGGCAAGCAACATTATGGATTTAAGGATGGACGACATGACAGGACAGATGCAATTTGCAAAATGTGCCGCGCATCTGTAAAATACGCGGGCAGTATGACTAATCTGATATCTCACTTGAAGCGGCGCCACGGTGTTGTTGTGAAAGCATCTTCCAGTGTTTCTGCATCCCCGGCTTTCGCACTGCTTCAACCAGCTCCAAAAGTGGTGAGAAAAGCATTGAAAGTTTTTTTTTCCATGCGCAACAGTTCTGCTCGCTCTACGCCAATAACGAATGCTATTGCATTGTTCATCTGCAAAGATATTCAGCCTAGTGTCACGGAGAACGAAGGTTTTAAACACCTCCTCCTGTTAATTTTTATTTAATTATAATAATAATAATATTAATAATAATAATGATAAAAATAATTGGGTGTCACAGTGGCACAGTGGGTAGTTTGACCACCTCACAGCAAGAAGATTGCTGGTTTGTTATATTTTTATTAGCCTGTTGTTTACAGTGACAGTGATGTTTCAACGCAGCATAACACTGCTAGTTCACGACCTTAAGTTTTGAATAATCAGTGGCAAAATATCTTTGTAAAACTTGTTTTCATAGTTGAAAAGTTAAATCACAATTCTTGTTGTGCAATGCTAATTTTATTTATGTTGAAAGAGTGCAAATATATACATATTTTTTTAATATATATTGCACTTATACATTCTGTTTATCTTAAAAATACTTAAATAATATGTGCTATATGTTCTAAAATGGCCCTCTACTGTAAACTGACACTCTGGCTCTGAGAGAAAAGCCAGTTTGTAAAAAAAAGTCTTGGTTTTGCTTGGTTTATAAATAATCAAACTCATTCAATGGCACAGCATCCTCTTTCACATCATCTCATAAACTTGATCTAATTAGTTAGTGCTGAAATATCGCATCGTATCGCGATATGGGTGTGAATCGTATCGTGTTGCATCGCAATATGTCACAAATGTATCGCTAATATATCGGATCGTATTCTTTGTATCGAGATGCGTATCGGATGGGCATTATAGCTTAGATGCCCAACCCTAGTAATTACAAAACAACTCATAAATACCAAATCCAATTCATAAATTCAAAACGCAACTCATAAATTTGCAAATCCAATTCGTAAATTCAAAACCCAACTCATAAATATACTAATCCAATCTGTAAATTCAAATCACAACTCATAAATTTGCAAACACAACTCATAAATTTAAAACACATCTCATAAATATGCATCTCCAATTTAAAAATTCAATGTGTAACACAATGCGTTAATGCAAAACACAATTTTGTTAATTCAAAATGCTAAATTCATAAATGCACACATCCAATTCATTTGGGGGAAATACTTGATTTTTGCTTGTGAATTCACACTTTGTGATTTCAATTTACGAATTGAATTCATGCATTTATGAACTGTGGTTTGAAATTATGAATTAGATTTTGTAATTGTGAATTGTTTTATATAAAATAAATGAAATTAGCTTTATTTCTGCAAATGTATATTTTTTTAGACTCATCTGGCTCCAAAATTAAATGGCTGCTTTGGAATGATAGTTATTGTGAAAGGCACATACAAATCAGGGTTCAACGCTAAGGATTTTTTCTACTGGGCCAATCGGGCCAGTGGTTGAGATTTTTACTTGCCCTGCCAAAATTTTCACAGGCCCCACAAAAAAAAAAAAAAAGTGAACAGCTATTTCTTAGCCACATATTTTAAATAATGTGGCAAAATAATGTGTCTGAATCTAGAATGTAAACATTTTAAAAATGTTAATAAATGTATAATGAGCCAAAGTCAAGATTTTATGCAAACGAAAGAGCAGTTTGGAAAATATGCGGGTATTTTATTGCAAATCTAAATTATTTTTTTTAAAAATGCTTGCCAAACTGACAACTTTATTCTCCTTCTTTTTTTCAGTTTCTTGATTTTGTACCCATGTCATTGTCTGCGACTTTAGAAACAGATGTTTTCTTTTAGCCTCATAGTTTGATGTTGCCACCATGTTGCCATCTTTTCACTGTACTGGTTGTTACCAGGTTCCAAAAACATAACATGCTCATTGTTACTGGCCGATAGGGGCCAGTAACAATCCTGTCTACTGTCTCGAGCGTCTCTTACGCTGGCCCAGGGCCACTGGGCAGTCCTTATTGTTGAGCCCTGCAAATAAACTTGAATTGATTATCCTATTTTTACTCAGGGATTGTTCCAGCGGCATCCTCCACGTGACAGTGCGATTACGAGGACATCAGGATGGAGGCCCCTCTGGTGTGCCTGGATGAGGAATTCGAGGATCTGCGGCCCTGCAAGATGGAGGAGCTTGAATGCGAACAGCCTCCCTGTCGACCTCACAAAACCATTCCCTTGGCCCCGCTGTGCCGTGAAGACTTCTCCGAGCTGGAGAACTTCTCCGAAATGATGAGCTTCAAGTCCATGGAGGATCTGGTCAATGAATTTGACGAGAAGCTGAACGTGTGCTTCCACAATTACAACACCAAGACAGAAGGTCTGGCACCCGTGCGCAACCAATCACATGCTGAGGAGGATGAGGAGAGGCTTCAGGATGAAGAGTAAGCACAATCTCATCCATTCTTAGTGTGCAAATACATGTAGATAGCAATCCAGGCTCACTGGAAATATGTGCCCCAGAACATATTTTTTGCAAAACTTAAAATACGCTGCTCCGGGTACATGTTATTGCACATTTCAGCTGAAACATCCACTAGAGGGTGCTATTCACATTCTTGTAAATCTGAAATGAGTTACTTAGGCCAGGTAGATTTTGTTGTATATTTCAGATACATGTCCTTCTTGTACATGTCCACAAAAAGACGAGTCTTCTACAGATCACTTAGTGAACTGCTGACCTAAACCCAATCAAAGAGAAAAGTGCACTGGGATCATGTAGTTTTACCTTGATTTTACATTGCTCTTATCTCTTTTGTGTACAAAGTGAGCTACCAATCAAACTGACCTCTCCAGAAAAGTTGTCCATATGGAGATAGATCGATGAGGCGAATGTAATCAATTAACAACCACAGACACTAGGGTTGCACAATATTGGAAAAATCTGATATTGTGATATTTTATTTTTCTATGATAAATATTGTGATGTCAATACAGTTGACAAGATTTTACGCTTTTATGGCGAGTCATACAGTATTAAGGGACAGAAATTGAATAATCTTAATGCAAAAAATGCTTTTCTTACTTTGCTTTGTCTTGTTTGTAGTCAAAGAAATAAGTCAAAATTAAGAGTTTTTCCTTAAAACGTAAAATTATCTGAAACAAGACAAAAATTCTATGTAAGAAGAGCATTTTATTTAGCATGAATCGTGTAAATTCTGTATAAATACAATAATTAAATAAAACTGTAGCTTCTGGTCAACTATAATTCAGACTCAACATTGCATACTTGCGATGTGACTTTTGTAAATTTGCACTTTGCAATATCAGTGCAAAAAAAAAAAAAAAAAAAAAAAAAAAAAAAAAAATATATATATATATATATATATATATATATATATATATATATATATATATTGTGTAGCCCTAACAGACACTGTTAAAGGTGCAATAAAAGATTGTGAAAAATGCTAACATTAGCACGATAGCACTGAAACGCCTACGTCCCAACCTGCAAATTGCCATTCAAATCCAAGATCCAGAGAGAACATTTTATAGTGCAGTTAGTAATTAATATACCAAACTTTAAAAAAAAGGCAGGCTGTTGATGTTTGCCTGCCATCCAACTGCGTACATGAACGTGCCAATGACGTAATTCTTGGTATGCAATTATATATATATTTTGACATTTCTAGGTACTACACCTTCCACAGAATTTAAAATACACGTAAATACAGCTGGACCACAATTTAATGATTGCTATCAGGATGTAAAGAGACTTTCAACCAGCATAACAAACAATCTATCTGAAGGTAATCAACTAATGAAGTTTCACTAAATTTTGAGAAGAGCATGTGTTATGATTGATCGCAGCTGGTCTCTAAATTATAATCATTAGTTAGCCAATCTGATTAATCCAAACTCACTATAAGTTGCCTGGCTATAACTACTCCCTTATTTTCGTTTTCTGAAGAAAACCCTATCCACCCCATCTCCCCCTTCTCTCCTTTACCAGGGGGAGCTTTCGAGAGCTACCTGATCTCCTACTCCCCTTACATGCTCATCGACCAGGCGGGAGCCCTGGGCTCAATTATCTTTGAGCTCCTGGTCCAGCCTGCCAAACCTGCTATTATTTTCAAGCAATATCTAAGTGCAAACTCCTAAATTCCACCTTTAAGTTGTTTTGTAGTATTTATTAGGTGTTGTGCAAAGAACTGCGCAAAAATAATTATTTGTTTGTCGATAATACGTTCCTGTCAATATCATTAGTGTGAAAAGGAGAGAAAATTGTTGCCGTCATGCTGCCCTGTATTTGTTACCTAAAAACTAATGTTGGAGTTTGTTTTTGTGGTTTCATAAAAATGAAGACTGAAGCCAAAGTATCTTAAAGGCAAGTCATTTCACTCGGCGTCCATCTTTAAAACACCTCTCAGGCAGTATGCTCGGGTTTTCTGTCTGAATGGGAAACATCAAGTTCTCCAAAACTGCTTGCCAAGCTTACCATTAAATTTCATATTAGGAATCACCAATAAAATTAAACAACAACTGTCTCCTTAGATTTATTTCTAAACGTCCAAATCACATTAAAATCTGCAGAAACTCACATCTGCTCCAAGCCCCTCCCCCAGAGTACTGCCAGTCTATAGCAATCGATGATTGGCTCCTGTACTAGAAGGCAGGCTTTTTTCACCATTTAGCAATCGATGTTTAGTTCCTGTACTAGTAGGCGGGGCTTTATTTACCAAATTGAAAGTTACACTTTTACCCATTCGAAAAGATATGAGTGAGATGTCTTGTGTATTCTATAGTGTTTGCTGAAGCATATTTTTCCAACCCAAAAATGGACTAGTGGGTGCAGAACCCTATTAGTACATTTATGCAAGTAAGGAAAGCAAAATAAAGTGACATATTTATGCCTAAACATTATTTACAGTATGTGGTCAACTAAATACCTTCTGAGTGTGGAAATATATTATTCAATTCAGTTCTGATGAATGTGGTTGACAGCAGAGACTATGGGCTGTCATTGAGGGGTAAACAAACAAAGTATTGGCATTTGTATAAATATTACAATACTAATAGTTGTCTGGATCTTTTTGGTTGATTGTAATCCATTACATACTTTACCTTTTTATCGAAGTTATCTTAAACTCAAGATGAATTTGTTTCTGACAGTTAACTTGTGATATATCACTAGCAATTTCTAAACTACAGTGAATAAACAGTACTTCTGAATTTATCTGAATAATTTTTGGTTTGACTGAATATTTAATGAACGACACTTTATCTAATTGGCTTCTGCAAGGTTATACACCGTTATAGTTGTGCTGATAAATATGCCAAACTAGTTGGCTGTCTCTCTGTCAATCAAAAAGTGAGGACATGTCTGACATCCACGCCAACTGGCTTTCCAATCATATTCTGTAAGAACACCCTTTGTCCATCACCAGTGTCGGTCTGTGTGTCTGTGTGCATGTGTCCGTGGTTTGGCCGTGAATTATTCAGCAAATTTTTATACGCCTCAGTGCTTTTGTTTGTCCTGACTTGTCTGCGCTGCCAGGCTGTCACCATGCTCTCATTGCTGTCAAATCTGCCTCTCGCAAAATGGGACAAAAAAAATCCCTGGGTCTAATTTTAGCACATGCTCTTGTTGATTTAAAACAGTTAAAATCTCATCGCTGATTAAGGCTGTACTGTAACTGCACAAATATTAGGAGGAGCAGATAGTGTATATGTGCTTTAGTTTCAGTTGTAACCTTTTAAATGATATTAAATTGGGATTTTCAGTATTTACGCATGATGTTCGTTACACTCTTAGATTTTGCTGTAAATACGGCAGTGATTTATGATTTGTTAGCATGTTTTTTTTTCTCTGTTTCCCGCTGTGATGTGTTCTCATTGCCCGTGGCTTTTGTTCTTGGCTTGCATTCAGACAAAAATCTGTCCCTGCGCTAGAATTCAGCCTGTGGCTGAAAATCTGACGAATTACAGAAACAAGCCTGCTGCAGGTTCTCAGGGTTTGGTAAATATTCTTGCTAAGATGTAACCTTCACAGAAATAAAACTTCTTCAGACAATGACATATGGGTAGACGATGAGTCTGTACCAGTTTGGTGCTGTTGCAGGGGCTGGAGGCTGATAGGCTTGTGTCTGTGTGTCCTCAGAGGTCAGCACTCTTTGAATGGCCACTTGTTCTCTGGATGACTAGACAGAGGCACAAAGAAAGAGTGGAGAGTAATTTTAGTACGTAGATAAATAGATAAAAAAAGAAATCGTTGTCAATAGACTGGTTAATAAAACATAGAAAACAGCTACTTAAAGAGCATCTTAAAGGGTTAGTTCACCCAAACCGATAAAATGATGTTAATTAATAACACTCATGTCCTTCCAAACCTGAGACCTTTGTTTTTTATTTTAAGGCTTATCCTCCTTAAACAGCAATAGTCTCAAGATGTTCAAGGTCCAGAAAAGGAACCAAAAACACTATCAAAATATTTAATGTGACTTCAGTGGTTCAACTTTAAACATACTAAGGCTCAACGAACACGCCAAAATGACTTTGTTTGCCTTTGTCTTCTGCATCAGATTAAGGTGTACATTTTCTATGGGCAATATGACACTTGTGTGCTGCACTGCTTACTGCTTACTAATGGCAGTGTCATACGGCCCAAAGTAAACGTGTACCTCGAAGACCTGATTTGTTTGTCGCACAAAAGTGTTCTTGTAGCTTTGTGTGATTACAGTAGTACCACTGATGTTCTATTGAATTTTTTTGACAAAGTTTTGGTGTCTTTCCTGGACTTTGAACATCTTGGGACCATTGCTGATTAAGGAGGATGCGAGAGCTCTAAGATTTCATCTAAAACATCCTAATTTGTGTTTGGAATGACATGAAGGTGAGTGATTCATAACAGAAATGTCCCTTTTGGGTGAACTAATCTTACTAATCTGATTGTAGAATCAGAGTTGCACACAAACTGCACGCAAGTTAAAATCTGGAGGACTAATATTGTACTATATTTGTCACTATATATGAAGAGTTCAGATGCAGAAACCTCAAAGTGCTATCTAAAATGAACATTATTCTCATCACCCTTTGTTTATGTTGAGATATTTCACTTTAAAGACCAGGGGCCTCATGATTCAACGGTGCGTACGCACAAAAACTTTGCATACGCCAGGTTTCACGCTACCGTTTGTATTTATTAATGATAAAATGAATGTTAGAATGTGTGTTCGTCCACAGCAAATTCATGCCTGGCGTACGTGCATTTCTTGTGTGTGTTTGTTTTATTTCCATTGGCGACTCCTAGTGGCAATTGTGTTTAATTGCAAACTACAAAGTATATTTGAGCCATGCAATGGCAGCTGTATGAGACGGGATTATCTGCATGTCTAGCAGGTATATAAGTTTTCCATACCAAATAGTTGACCAGCCAAACATTAAAGCGCAATTTGCAGCGATCGCTGGTTTTCCCAATGTAATCGGAGCAATCGACTTCACGCACATTGCTAAAAAGGCGCCATCTGAAGACGAATATGCATACATGAATCGGAAACATTTCCATTCAATAAATGTGCAAATTATTGCAATTATGCAAAATATGTGATGCTCAAATGCGCTTCACATAATACACAGTAATGATTCCTACTTGTCTTCCTCGTGATGAAGAGTAGGCAAAACCTGATAAGTAATGGTAAAAAAAAAAGAATGAGTTTATCAGACGCTGGATTCAAACTGGGTTCAGGAATGATAGGGTCAAAACATGTTGTCATGCGCTTTATGAGCTACGCCACTCTGCCTGATGACTGCTTAATTATCACTCTATAAGCTCATTCTAATGAGGTGTCCAACGAGACCCTACTGCATATTTTTTTCTTTTGGTTTTAATTCCGAAGAACAAACTTGCAAAGTTTTTGCATCTAAACTCTTCATATATTTGTGTTGAAAGTGTTTACTTAAGTCATTGCTAAAGAATGTATTGCCAATGAGGTCTATGCAAAGGGACTTTTCATTTTCATTATGCCAGCTCAAACGCTTCCTGTGAACTGTCATGCCACTATAAAATCACTGTATTTAAGATCAGGTCTCTTTAAAAATCATTAATCTGTGCTGCCTTATTGAGATACTATATAACATGGGTCTCAGACCAGACAAAAAAGCACTGCATTAAATTGTATTGTTCCACACCATCTCTTTAAAATATGCCAATTTATTTTACCACAGTACTTTCAATAGAGTTTCAGCGCTCGCATGCTGTTCCTGACGGGTTTTCATGTCTCCTCATAATTCAGTTTCCCATAAAATCCAAACCAATCAAATGCTCTCTCGTCTCTGACAAGGGGGCCTTCAAGGGGCCTAAGTAGCCTTCAAGGGGGGCTACTTATTTCCTTTTTATTTGATGCGATTGAGATCAACTACTCTCACTGACAAAGCGGTGATAAAACAAAACGCTATTGCCTGTTTTTAAAAAGGACAGGAGCTACACTTTAGCTGCGTCCCAAATGGCACACTATACACTATGCACTCATGCACTATGTACTTATGCACTTACACACTCAACAGGATAGTATATGTATGTAGTGTCGTCCCAAATGGCACACTAATGTTTTTTTACTAAGCGGAAATTCAAACCGTTTCCCTGATGACGTATGACGGTCGCCAAATCAGTGAAGTAAACAACCGAATTATCAAATAATACCTGCCGTGAGTATTGCCGCATTCACCATCGGGAGGCGCTATAATCACTCTCGTAGAAGAATTTAGCTTTCACCATCCAAAATGAATAAAGTTATTCAACATGTGCGTCCGATAGCTCCGCCCCTTCCGCTATGTAAGCAAACCTGCGGTCGTTGAGTGCGTGAAGTGTCCATCATTACACACTTCGTTTTAGTGGCTGAATGAGTGCATCATCCGGGTAATTGAAGTGCTCTTATTATTTTTAGTGTTTTCAGTGTGAACGCACTACTTACACTATTTATACTACAAAATGGCATAGAATAGTGCACAAGTATGCGATTTGGGACGCAGCTTATGTCTTGCCCTCTCAACATGTTTTGGTTGAGATCAAACATCGAATAAAAAAAGCACTTCATGGGACCTTTAAATGACCTTTCGTTATGTTTTACACTTAAAAAACTAAATGAATGCCTGAGTCTATTTAACGGATTGTATTTTAATTCCATTCCGTTATCCATGCTGTAAAAGAAACCTTATAAAGTGTAAAACAGTCACTTCACCGGGAGTTTATCAGTGGCTAAAAAACACTTGCTGTGCCCACTGTGTGAATGGATGTTTCATTTGTTTCACTTTCATTGTGTGTCAGTTGGAACATTGTGTATATAAATGTCCATGCGTGTGTGTTTTTGTAGTGTGTGGGATGCTCTGACTGACAACTACATGCCCTCCTCTGTGTCCAGCTGGGACGACCCCACCTCGGAAACACTCAACGGCAACCTCTCGGATCAGGAGGTAAACATCTGCTCTGCTTCTGATAACTGTAATGGTGTTGACGTGATAACAGACTATTTGTATTTCCAGCATGGCTCCTGATTACTGCTATAGGATGTGAATGAAATTCACATCTACTTAAATTAATTGGTTTTGTAAAACATAATTTACAACAAATCAAAGAAGTGTAGAGCACAGCTAAAATAGGTAACTGATCCCATAAAAGAAATACATTTCGTCACTTGAAATATCAAGTACATATTGTTATGCAAATATATATATATTTTTAATTTTAATATATATATATATATATATTAAAAATGAAAGTATTTATTTTTAATCAAAAAATTTTTTTATGTATTTTTAATAAAAATGTATACATCGTGTCTCAAAATAAAAAAAACTAAGCAATAATATATCATCCAAAAATAAGACTGCTTATTGTACTACAGGAATAAGAATGACAAAATTTCGTACAGGAATAACAGCGCAATCTGTGCATCAGAATAATCCTTTTATTAACTTTCCTAGACATAATGATGGCGTAATGATGACATTTTTATTTTTAGATGCTTTATTTCTGTGCATACTAATTTAGTTTACTAGTAATAAAACTAAAGCGTTCAGTCAATATTTGTTTCAACATTGTTTAACATTGTGGAAAACAAGTACATATCATATGATTTCATCTATTTGCCATCTAATTACAAAATATAAGTAAAGTTGATGGTATTTTGATGAAAATCTGACAGACTAAAGTTTGAGACACAGTGTATATTCTTATTTATTTTAACCTATTTAAAAAAATCTTATTATGATCTAAGCTGAAATTAATCATTTTAATAAAAATAAAAGAAATACAAGTATTAATAAAAAATATACAAAAAACCTAGAATTCAATGTTACTAAAAACATAAAATAAATCATAATAAAACTAATTTAACAAATGAATAGAAGTAATACTACATTACTCTATTTTTAAAGGAAAATTAAAATAAAAATTGATGCAAATACATTTTCCTGAATATTTAACTATACATTTATATTACGTATTGTTATTATTTTTACATTCACATATATTACTTATATTATGGGTTTTTAGAGACACACTGTATATTCTTATTTATTTTATTTAACTTATTTCAGAGACAAAAATCTTATTTTAATCTAAACTAAAATTAATAAATCAAATAAAAATAAAACAAATCCATGTACTAATAAAAATGATACAAAAAATCTAATTTCTCACTGATACTGAATAACATGAAATATATCATAATAAAACTAATTCAACATATTAATAGAAATGATACTACTCACTATTTTTAATTGATACTAAAATAAAACTGATGTAAATACCTTTTCCTTAATATTTAACTATACATTTATATTACATATTGTTATTATTTTTTACATTCATATATATATATATATATATATATATATATATATATATATATATATATATATATATATATATATATATATATATTTATATATATATACATATATATATATATATATAGTTATATTATTTATTTCTGATATTTACAGTAATAAAATAAAATACAATTTCTTCTACAAAAATAAAGAATATTTTTATATTTTGCTACGGGTGATTTATCATTATTATTAAACATATTATATCAACGGAGCAGAAATATCATTATCACTACAGCACTGGCCATCAGAAAACCCTTCTTGAAAAAATATCGTCCTCCTTAATTGAAAAGCATTTATTTCCTGTGAGCAAATGACTGCAGCACTATACGCAAGTGTTTGCTCTCTCCGTTCAGGGTGTGGTGTGTACATTTATGCCAAATGCACGGCAAATACAGTGAATGGCTGCCAAAAAAACCCAACCTGATCTACTTTGTTTGGCATCAAGCCTGTCACAAGCTTTGCAATAAGTAGTTTAGCCACCATAAAATCCCACAGAAGCTCTGAAAACATCATTAGTCTTCATGACTGACCGGCAGATATCATTTCTGCATTTTCCCTACACATTTTGTCATCATGTGTGCTATGGACTAATGCTCAACTAATGTCTATTGGTTGGACTAATGCTCAACTAATATCTATTGTGAGCTTTTTGATTAGTTCTAGCAGCGAAGTACAGTAGACTCTGTTGTACGTCAGTGTGGGCCAGAAGAGCTGTCAAGCTAACATTTTGAAAGCACTCCGCTCAGCACATTACCAATGGGTATAATGGAACAATATGGAGCCATTACTCTTGGCTGTCTTGTCATATTGATACTGCTGATGCTCTTAACCATGTTGGCAATGTTAGCAACCTTGTCTTCTGTGTCTTGGCTTTGAAGATACACGAAAAAGATGAGGATGAGATGAACGAGAAGAATGAAAATGCCAACTGTCTGAATGAAGAACCTCTTATTACAGCTGATCAGGTGAGCTTTTCCAGCTCGATCTTTGAAATGGTGATTGATATTATTTGGATAAACATACAGTTGAAGTCAGAATTATTAGCCCCCCTGAATTATTAGCAGTACTTATTTTCCCCCCAATTTCTGTTTAACAGGGAGCAGATTTTTTTCAACTCATTTCTAAACATAATAATTTTAATAACTCATTTCTAATAACATTTATTTTATCTTTGTCATGATGCCAGTAAATAATATTTGACTAGATATTTTGAAGACACTTCTATACAGCTTAAAGTGACATTTAAAGGCTTAACTTGGTTAATAAGGTTAACTAGGCAGGTTAGGGTAATTAGGCAAGTCATTGTATAACGATGGTTTGTTCTGTAGGGAGTAAAAAAAATATAGCTTAAAGGGGTAATAATTTTGACCATGAAATGATCATAAAAAATAAAAACTGCTTTTATTCTAGCCAAAATAAAACAAATAAGACTTAATCAAGAAGAAAAAATATTATCAGACATACTGTGAAAATTTCCTTGCTCTGTTAAACATCATTTGGGAAATATTTAAAAAAGAAAAAAAAATTCAAGGGGGGCTAATAATTCGGATTTCAAGAATAGTTCTTGAAGTCATTCTAGAATTCTTATAATTCCTACAGTGGCGGAAAAGACTGAAAAGTATTGTGTTCTTGTTTTTATATAATAATAATAATAATAATAATAATAATAATAATAATAACAAAAACAACAAAAACAACAATCATTTATATTACTATGTATTTATTATTAATTAATTATTACTATATATATTATATAAGTATTAAAATATTGTTTTAATAATATTATTATTATTATAGATATATTTATATATATAGATCATTAATTTTTTATAATAATAAAAATATATATTTTTTAAATTATTATTACATTTAGTATTACATTTTTATGTTTACATTATATATTATTTACTATATATTAAATCCTTGCACTTAAAAAAACTATTAGATGATAAGTACTAGTTTTGGTATGTTATTATTATAAATAATGTTTTAGAAAAAAAATTATTAAATGAACCATCAAAAATGTATCTGGTTTTATTCAAAGTATTATTATTAGGAAAATTAGTAAAAGTCTACATTCAATTTTACACCAAATGCTATTATATTATTTTATATTATATTATATTATATTATATTATATTATATTTTATTATATTATATTATATTATATTATATTATATTATATTATATTATATTATATTATATTATATTATATTATATTATATTATTTTATATTATATTATATTATATTATATTATATTATATTATATTAGTAACATATTTAAAAAATATATTTTTATATTTATTAAATGCATATTAATGTCAAATGAAAAGCTTACTCAAATCTGGCATATATTTCCTGAGCAGGTGATTGAGGAGATTGTGGAGATGATGGAAAACTCACCGGATCCTGGAGAGACAGAGGAAGAGGAGGAGGATGATATCGGGGTCTCTTCCTCTAAAAGCAGCCCGTCTCTTCTGGAGGAGATCCGCATGCTGTCTCAGGCCTCCAATAACAACTGCTCCTACGAAGGTGACAGTAAATAAATATACGTGACCTTTGGGTGACATTTAAAATGTTTCATTCTTCAGATGCAAGTTCATAAGCCATTCTCAACCTTTACTTAAAGGTCTCGCATTGTCCACAATAAAATTAACAATCCAGTAATAAAACTAAATAAGCTGAATAAAGCAGAATGTTATAGAGTATGGAAATTTGGATGAATAAATCAAAAGGGGGTGAGCAATTTTTTTTCTTGCTGTTTTTGTTGCCAGAAATCTATGAAGCAGGAAAAAAATCTATACTGAAATTAAAATGATCTCTGAAGAATCATTATTTAGATTTTAAATAATGTTCATATTTATTTTGAGAATAGACATCCAGAATTTTAGCTGATTAAAAGAGTTGGTGAAACTTTCAATATAAAAAAGCATTATAATTATTAAGTAGCACATTTTCATTTTCATGTCATGGTTGATAACAGATAAATGGCAGGTTTTATTATTCTCCTTTATTAGTTAATGAAAAATATTTATATGAATAAATATAAATGAATGTTATCAAAACATTATTACGCATCATATGTTATCGTATTTGCATTTGAGCATAAGACTAAGGGCCCTATCACACTCGGCACAATAAGGTGCGACGTGCACAATTTATTGCTATTTTCAGACCAGCACAACCCTAATTTTCACATTTTTGCGCCACATAGTTTAAATAGTAAAACCATTAGTTAGAGCGTGCTAGTTATGCACCTATGTGGGTTCAAACCCTTACAAATTTCTAAATACAGTGTGATTTGGCGACCTATCTGTTCAGTGTAAATCGAAATTGATGCATGTCTTAAAGACAGCATGGAAACTTGTTGGGCATGCCATGATGAATATTTTAATCTTCAAGTTTTATATGAGAATTGTGTCCTCAAATAGGTGGAAATGACTGTAATCGATCCAACTCATTTCTTTTTTCCACATTACGAACTGCTTCCCTCTGGTATGAGATATATAGTCCCAAAGTGTAGGTTAAATCCTTATAAGAGATCCTTTGTACCTGTTTCAGTGGGTTTATTTAACAAGAGTTCTAATCTTAATTAGCGTTATAAATGTTGTAACTTTTGTATTTTGTATTGTTTTTATTGCTTGTTTTTAGTGAATGTCTGCAGTAATATGGCCATGCCCATAACGCATTTCCTGTAAAGGACAACAAACTTTTACTACTACTACTACTACCACATAGAATGACAGCATTACACAAATATCTTTTTGAAAAGCAATAAAATAGTTAAAATATTACAAAAAGTCATCACACTTTACAATAAGGTTCATTAGCTAATGTTACTTAATGCATTTACTAACATGAACAATACATCTACTACAGTATTTGTTTATGTTAGTTAATGTAAATACAGTTGTTCATTATTAGTTCATGTTAACTCACTGTGCATTAACTAATGTTAACAAGCATGAGTTTGGATGTTATTAATGCATTAGTAAATGTTCAATTATGATTAACAAATGCTGTACAAGTGTTGTTGATGATTAGTTCATGTTAGTAAATGCATTAACTAATGACTTAACTAATAACTAATAAATGTTACCCAAAAAATAATGTATAAAATTATACATAATTATAAAAACCACTACCTGTATGCCTACTTTATGCCTCAATGCCTTTTTTTCAGTTTATCCATGACAATCTGCATTTGTATAATGTTATTATTTTAAGCAGTATTATTTATTATCTGCATATTTATATTTGTTTTAATAAAAACTAGTTTAGATTTGTCCACCTGTCAGGTTTTGGAGATGTATGCGTCACTATATCGGGCATAAGAAAAGGACATGTGTTTGGATATAACTCCGTTTTTTGACCACACTTAATATTTTTGACCACGTTATTATTGTACATTTATTAATTAGCTAGAAATTAGAACTGAATGTAGAAAGTTTCAAAACAAATTTTTGCACTTAGCAAACAAAATTATATATGTAGGCTAAAGGATGTCTTCATTGAAATGCGTACAACACCGTTTCTTCATCCACAAAAATAAAGGAGTAAGCTAAAGAGTAAAAGTAAAGTAAAATGAAAGTAAAGAGGCAAAATAGAGGGGGCTTGTTCTTTATCCTCGCGCTGCAGATGCTCCGTTTAACGCTCAGTTTTTCTATTTACAAAGTCCACCATGTAAATAGCAAACGCGCCATGACGCGACGCAACTTTCTCCTAAAGGGAATGGGAGATGAGACTCTGATTGGTTTAATGCACATTATCCTCAAAACACACCCATAACTCATTTAGAGAATAAGCACAACCCTGTTAGACCACGTGCTAGGCGCAGAGCGTATTTTTTTCATCCTTAAAATAGCAAAAGTGGATTCGGACATGCCCTTAACGCCCCATTAACACGGAGGGTCAGCTTCAACGCTTACCATTCCCATTCCCATTGACGTCAGGCGTTGCCAAACTGCATTGTGGATTCGTCAGCGCCGCTTCAGAGGCGTTGCTCGCTGCAGAAGTTGGGACTAGCTCAACTTTTCAAGTTCCAACGAAAGCATCAGCCAATCAGATCGCTGTATGCAAATACACCAGCTAGACAGTGACCTATTGCTGACTGAATTTCATTGGCCGACGCTGCTATGACGATTGCTTCAGCCCCAACTTCAGACATGCCTTCAGTCAAGCGTTGACGCTGAAGCCCCGTGTGAATGGGGAGTAATGCTTTTGCACCATACACTGTAGACTTTGCACCTAGATTGTTAAAATAGAGCCGTAACACTGCTTTAACCCCTTTAACTGGTATCACACATATTTGGTTGACCTTTTGTCCATGGGTTATCATTAAACAACAAAAAAAATAACATCAAATTTGCTTAGAGAGCTATCAAAAATACAATTTAACACAATTTAATTTTAAATAGGTAAAAAAAAAGGATTAAATAAAAGGTTCTTTATAAAAAAGGGTAAGTTAATTCTTTATTATAAAAAGGGTTAACTGTTGTTAGCTCTTTGTATTAAAAATATTTAGGTTAGCTCTTTACAATAAAAAGTGTTAGGTTGACTCTTTATAATAAAAAGGATTACCTGTAGTTAGCTCTTTATAATAAAAAAATGTCTATATATTAGGAGGTCAAGCTCAATGCAAACACACTCTGCATCTCCCCAGGAAGAAACAGGTGTCTATCGAGCATATAGAGAAGCATTCTATTTTAAACCCTGTTGTTTCAGCAGTTCTTCATCCTATACAGACAGATGAAACGGGTCATATTTTAGAAACCGAAGATGCAGTAGAGCAAAAGCGAATGAAAAATAGCCCACCGTCTGCTGAAGAATCAACACAACATTACTCAGAGTGTTAAAGTCAAGTGCTGGTTTTGATCAACGGGAGTCTTTTGAAACGAGAATGCTGTTTTTCACGCAGGTCTGAGGCTGATGCCGAGCTCTGCACTGCTTGACATCTTGTGCCGGATGGAGGCGGCGATTCGAGAGTATTCAGAGGAACTGGTGGCTCAGCTGGCCCGGAGAGATGAGCTGGAGTTCGAGAAGGAGGTGAAGAACACCTTCATCACAGCTCTGATGGAGGTGCAGAACAGACAGAAGGAGCAGAGGGAGCTGAGTAAGCGCAGGCGTAAAGACAAGGCCATGAGTCTACAGGGATCCACACGCCCCGAAAAGACCGGCAGCATGCCTGCGAAAGTGAGTGAGCCTACCATACACTGCTGCTCAAGAGTTTGGCATCAGAAACAGACAGAGAGAGAGAGAAAGAGCCATGGGTTTAATGTTTTCTGCTCACCATGACTGGATTATTTAATCATAAATACAGTTAATTAAATGTTTTTTTTTATGTTTTAAAACTAAAATAATGCTGTCAAAAATACTTTCAGGCGTCACAGTGATGCAGTGGGTAGCACAATTGCCTCACAGCAAGAAGGTCACTGGTTCGAGCCTCGGCTGGGTCAGTTTTCATTTCTGTGTGGAGTTTACACGTTCTACCAGTGTTTGCGTGGGTTTCGTCTGGGTGCTCCAGTTTCCCCCACAGGTCTATAGACATGCTGTACAGGTGTAGGCTAAATTGTCCATTCACACATAGTGTATCTGTGAATGGATGTGAATGGATGTTTCCCAGTACTGGGTTGCAGCTGGGAGGGCATCCGCTGCGTAAAACATATACTGGATAAATTCATAACCGGTTCACTCCGCTGTGGTGAACCCAGATTAGTAAAGGGACTAAGCTGAAAAAGTAAATGAATGAGTGAATGAAAATACTGTACTTTTACTGCTTGTTTAAACTACTTATTTTAAATGAGTTGAAACAACACAAATCTTAAGTTTTTTTCTGGGACAACTTAAGTGTGTTATGTTTAATCCACCTAAATTTGTAAAAACAATTTCGCTAACTTAATTTATTTGTGTTGGGACAGCATGAAGGAATTGTGTGGAACCCAACATTTTTTCCAGTATCGTGTTTTTTGTTTAAACATTTATTTGACATACTATTATTATTTATTAGGATATTTCAGAGGAGCGAACTGTGGCTCTTAAAGGGACAGTACACCCAAAAATACACATTTACTAACTGTTTACTCACCCTCATGTGATTTCAGATCTTTATAAGTTTCTTTATCTTGTTTATTACAAAAGAAGATATTTTTAAAAATGTTGGAAACCTGTTACCACTGAATATTATAGTATAAGGACAAATACAATAGAAAGCAAATTCATTCATTCATTCATTTTATTAACCTGGGGTTTTGGTGAAAAGTCAGCTTTTGCAGGAATATTAATCAATTCTTTTCTTTATTTTATAGCATTTTATTTATTACATATTCAATCTTTTTTTCAGTTTAAGTTTTAGTTTAGTTTTTAGTAAGTGCATTTGGCACAGGGGTGCCCAACCCTGTTCCTGGAGATCTTCCTTCCTGCAGACTTTAGCTGCAACCTAGGTAAAACACACCTGCCTTTAATTACCCAATGCTCCTTTAGATCCTACTTATGCTGCGGTCACACAAGAGCAGGGGTCACCAATCTCATTCATGGTGGTCCGGTGCCCTGCAGGGTTCAGCAAGCTTTTCAATGCAGTGAACTGCGAAACTTGTTGCACAAGCTTCCGCTTCCGGTCTGCCTCACTCGCATACATATGAATGGAAGTCTATGGGGACAAAAGTGCAGTGTGACTGCATATTTCGTTGGTTTAGTTGCGTTTGACCAGGGTTGGAGCTCAACTCTGCAGGAAAGTAGGTAGATCTACAGGAGCGGGGTTGAGCAGCTACTTCCTCTGACATAGAATAAGTTTCATTTGACATTTTTAAATAAAATCTTATGTAAAGATTTTCATCATTGAAAGTTATGACATCATTATTATATTTTTTGGCAGTTTTTATTTAAAATTTGAGTTCTGTTTAGTAATTTGGTTGTGTTTTGAACACTATATTAGCATTTTGCTTTTTTAACTTAGAGGGTTTTATTTAATCTTTACTTTTTGTAATTCTAGTTTATTAAATGGTATTAAATTAATACACTAAGCAAGACTGCAGAATAAGAAAACGAGAAACGTTGTTTTTGGCAATTACCTAAAGTAAAACACTTATTTTGTATAATTTGTATGTGCATGTTTTAATAGATTACATTCAATAATTAAGTAAAATGTTATTTTAAAGTTTAAGAATATTTGTACACCTTTACAGTTTTGATCAATTAAATGCAGCCTTGGTGAGCAGAATAGGCTTCTTTTAAAAGCATTCACTGATGCTCTGCTTCTGAGTCGTAGTGCATGTGCATGATGTTTACCTCTTCACCCAGTCTCCATGCACAGTTAATAGATCTCAGCAAATTAGACTAGAGCTGCACTTAGCACTTACTGGAAGAGCAGAGGAATCATTCCCCTGCAGCAGGGGCTGTGAAGGCAATAGCAGCTTCCTCTTACAGTAATGCTGCTCTGATTCCATTACATCATGCAAGTAACTGCATCTCCACTTCCTCCATGCTCTCTCTGACCATTTTAGTTGCTGATGAGTTCAGAAATGTGGTAAAACTGTGAATCTCAGATTTAATATGTTTGCACCATTTTCATCAGAAGTCTAGTATTTTAGGCAAGAAAAGTGAAATGTATAAATAGGTTGTACATTTGTATAAGTTACTTGTTCATTCATTTTCCTTCGGCTGCATAGTAAAAAGCAATTATGACAAAATATTATGACAACTTGTTCAGCCATTTTGCATGTAAAGACTTCTGCCATGACTAGGGGCGTAGCAGCAAATTCTGGGCCCTGTACCCTCTCAATGTCAGTGGGCCCCCTACACATTTTTTTTAATTATTTGAATATAAAAATGCACAAATAGTGTTTTAATCTATAATCAAATCAGATTATAATAATGGCTGGTTCTTTCTTTCACCACCATTGAGTGCTGCTACTGCTAGCGTGTCAGAACCACTGGTTGTTTCTGAAACTGGTTAATGTTGGCAACCTGACGTTAGCTGGCCTGGCCCATAATTTACTTACAGCAACAAGCAGCCTGGTTGACAAACTAAGCTAAAGATTTAACATTAGCATACATACATTACAGGGCTCGAAATTAACTTTTTTTACTTGGTAGCACTGGTGCTCCCAACTTCAAAAAGTTAGGAGCATCCCAAAAAATTTAGGAGCACCCATTTTCTTTTTAGTTATGCGCCAATCTTGATCCTTAATGGCCGATTTTGATTAGCACACGTACATCTCGGAGATGTCTATTTGACGTCTGCATTCACATCTGCAAGACATCTACAAGACGTTTCCTAGCAGATGTGAAATAGACTTCTATTAGACATCTTTAAGATGTTTGCGATTCAGAATGTGTGTAAAACTGACATCATACAGACGTCTGCCAGACGTTTGTATACAGCAGGTGCTTTCCAGATCAAGAGATCTTTAACAGACATCTTGCAGACGTATACAGACACAAAATATCTAATACAAGGAATTTCAACCTTTATACCATTAAAAAGGGATAAATCAAGTATATGATTTCTTATATTAGTATTACTTAATTGTTTAGATTTTTAAAAGGCACATTAACTTCTTTCACATTTACACATGGATCGATAATTGCAATAATTTGACCATAAACAGCTGAAAAAAATTATTGGAAATAAAAATTCATTCTGTCACAAGGGGGCGCTTTAGGAGCGCTGAAATATTACGGTTTCCCTAGTAATGACTGTACACAAATCAGTATTATATGCGACCAAAATGGTCGCAATTTCGAGCCCTGTATTAGCAGCAGCTGTCTGGAGTTGACCATGTTAACTTTAATTAGATGTAGTTTCATAACAAGCAAACTCAGTTCACCTTTTTAAAAGAAAGCAGTTATCAGCTGCTTCCCCTCATTCTGCCTCCTTTCTTTTTCCTTCCTGTCTTTCTTTTTTTGAAATCCCGATTTGGGCTTTTTGCGCAGCATAATCAGGCTCTAGACTCACTGCGTTACTTGTTTGCCGCCGGCTGCCGTCTATGGGCGGACTAAACCATTTCGGGTGCTGTGGGGGGGAGGGGGTGTTATTAATATATTTTGAAATATATAATGACATTGACATCAGTTGGAGGGGCCAATTAATTCGAAGTAGGCTACAAAAAAATAATAATAATAATAAAAAATTGGTGGGATTTCAAAGGGCCCTCTCCCTAGACGGGGCCCTGGGTAGTCAGGTCCACTTTTCCCCCCACTACCACGCCCATGGCCATGACCAAACGATTAAATGTTGTGGTGGTGAGACTATTCAACAAAGACCAAAATAATCCATTTATCAGCATGACATAAGCCAGTGGCTTTCAAACTTTTGTTATCAAGTACCACCTCAGAAAAAAATGGTCTCTCCAAGTACCACCAAAATGAGCAGTATTGAAATACAGTAGCGTATAGCCCCAGTAAAGCAGCTACAACTCTGCACAGTTAAAAAAACGTGGCAGATTACCTCAGAAATATAGGCAATATGTCATATGTGGCATATTATATACATAATTTTTGATAAATTTTGAAATGTGTGTAGCATGTACATGACATATTTCATTCCTCTGCGTACCACTAGAAGGAAGCCTGCGTACCACTAGTGGTACACGTACCACAGTTTGAGAACCACGGACATAAGCAATTGATAATGTAGGAAACAGCAGACATAACCATTTGCAAGAATGTACAAAAGCATTTGCAACTTGTTCGAGGAAACAACAAACTGCTTTTCTTATGTGCACAAGTGACACATTGATGTGAAGATTGAGCAGGGAGTTTTGAGAATTTCAATTCTGATTTGAGAAATGGACTAAAGCGTGGCTAATAACTGATAAATGACACATATTACAATTCTCCTTTATTATTTTTTCCTCAATATAAATAGAAATTTAATTTAAATATAAATTCTATTAAATTTAATGTCTACAAAACATTATTTAGCACAGTAAGGATAATATATAGTTAGACTGGAAAGACTCGCCAAGGGAAGCAGCCATTTTACAAACACTGTCTGAAAGACTTCAGCAGTTTTTACATCAGATCCCCAGCTGATGCTTTCTGCAGTCTGACGTAGGAGAGATTCGTGCAGACGAGTGATGCTGTGCTGTACAGTAGAAGAGCAGAAGAGAGCCTCTGGTATTTAATATTTCATGTTTTGGTGTTTTCGCAGCGCTTCAGCATGGAGGGTCTCTCCAACATCCTGCAGACAGGCATCAGACAGACCTTCGGGAGCTCAGGCACAGAAAAACAGGTGGGGAGGAACTTTTCACTCCATCTTCTGGACTAAACATGAACATGTATGCAGAAGAAAATCTGATTTTTTTGAGGCGCTAATTGTGTGTGATGATTACTTGCAGTACTTGAACACAGTCATCCCGTATGAGAAAAAGGGGACTCCTCCATCTGTGGATGACTTGCAAATGCTCACAAAAAGTAAGTGAACCGAACTGCTCTAATGGTATTACTATTGATCTCGGTCGAAGTGAAATCACCATCATATTTCATATTTTGCAAGACAAACTTCTGTTAAAGCGACTGCACCTAAATGTTAATGTATTTATTATTTGCAATCAAATAACACCAAAGAAAATAAAATGTTTATCGATCTCATCTGTCATTTAACTGATTTTTTTTTCAGTTCTTTATGCCATGAAAGAAGACAGCGAGAAGGTCCCAACCCTCCTGACTGACTATATATTAAAAGGTAAATCTGACATGCTCATTTTCCCAGAATTAAAATATATTATTTAATTCATTTTCCTTCGGCTTAGTCCCTTTATTCATCTGGGGTCGCCACAGTGGAATGAACCGCCAACTTATCCAGCATATGTTTTACACAGTAGATGTCCTTCCAGCTGTTACCCAGTACTGGGAAACATCCATACACACACATACACTACAGACAATTTAGTTCATTCAATTCACCTATATCAAACCAGTGACCTTCTTGCTGTGGGACGACAGTCCTAACCACAGAGCCACTGTGTCGCCACAATCCGCTTGTTAAGTGTGACGTCACGCAGGGCGGCTTCCGGGTCCAAGCGCTCGATTCAGCTGAATGGGGAGACTCATGAAATGGTAATAATAAACATTTACAAAACGATTTAATTCTTTCAAAAATCACAATCACAATATATATATATGTCCATGCCTAATATCCGATGGCCAGAAAGTGATTCATTTTTTTATAAATTGTAAAAATTTTGGTATTTGTTCTGCAGCAAGCCCAGAGATTGTTGCGTACACTATGACTTTATGTAAAATGAACTTTAATGTGTGATAAGAATAAAAAGTGATCATAATCGAATGATTTCTCAACTCAAATGAATGGCGGCTTGGACCCGGAAACAGTATTACATATGTCACCACTTAATAAGCGCATAGAATTTTAGCATTTTCTATTGATTTGTGATGTATCATGTATTTTTAAATGAATAAATATAATGTTAAGATATTTTAGAGAAGCTAACTTTGGTTGTTATATAGGCCAAAAGATTTAAAAACTGGAAATTGTTCTTTTAGGATGATAACATACATTTCTAAACCAGTGTTGTTTCATTTTTATTATCTGTGAATTAGCTTTAGCTTTCTGTTTTCATTTTATTTTTGAAGTTGCACCAAATAGTGCCGTTTGTTTAAATTAGCAATTTTATTTTTTTACATATTTAAATGTTTCATGGCTTAAGTTTAAGTTATTTCAATGCATCATGTCAAATTGCAGCTAGTTGAAATAAAATAAATGTAAGTTTATAATTCAATTTAAATGAAATCTTTTATGTTCTCCCTGTGTTGGCGTGGCGTGCTCCGGCTTTCCTCACAGTCCAAAAACATGTGCTATAGGTGAATTGAATAAACTAATTTGGCTGTAGTTTATGAGTGTGTGTGTGTGTGTGTGTGTGTGTGTGTGTGTGTGTGTGTGTGTGTGTGTGTGTGTGTGTGTGTGTGTGTGTGTGTGTGTGTGTGTGTTTCTCACTGCTGGATTGCGGCTGGAAGGGCATCCACTGTATAAAAAATATGCTGTTGCCGGTTCATTCTTCTGTGGCGAAATAGAGACTAAGCCGAAGGAAAATGATTGAATGAAATATTTCATGGTTCATATTCAAGACCTGAAGAGATTTATTTTATTTTGTTTTTAATTATGTTTTTATCGTTTTTAATTTTAGTTGATTTTAGCAAATTTATTGTTTTGAACACTTTTCTGTTTTCTGTTAAATTTGCTTATATTCTTTACATCATTTTGCTTTTAGTTTTAGTTATTTTACTGCATGACTTTTTTTGACAATTAGTTAAAATAAAACATACTTATAATTAGCTTTATTTTGTTTTGTTTTTTATATCCACAGTTTCAAGTGACCAAAATGTAATATATGGTTTTCTAAAAAGTCTAAAGTAGCCTGTCATTTTTCTGAAAATGCCAACATGCACAGCTGAATCCACAGCTTTTCAAAGTTTTGTTCGTTTGATAGCATGCGCAGTTACTCGACATGGCACATGCACACTTTTAAAGATTCATTGATGTCCATTGCAGTGTCTGTGCTTCTCTTTCAATATGTTGTATGAAAATAATAGGTAACACTTTCTTTTACAACCCGCAAAGTACCGCGTAAGTACAGTGAAATTACAGTGTACTTTTCTGTACGTACTGTGTAAGTATAATGAACGTATGTGTAGGTATAAGGGAACAAACCGTAATGTTTGGGTAATAAGGGGGTAACAACCAGATGTTCATCACGAAAATTACAGCGTAAGTACAGTGAAATAACGGTGTACTTTTCTGTACGTATAGTGTAAGTATAAATAACGTTTACGTAGGTATAAGGGAACAAACTGTAAAGCTTGGGTAATAAGGGGGTAACAACCAGATATTCAGCATGAAAAGTACCGCGTAAGTACAGTGAAATAACGTTGTACTTATCTTTAAATTGCAAAAGAACAAACCATAATGTTTGCATAATAGGGGAGTAACAATTAGATATTCATCACGCAAAGAAGTATATTAAGTTTACAATGTACTTTTCTTCAAGTATTGTATACATATAAAGAATTATGCAAGGATGGCGACAACCTATTGCTATCTGCAAATGTACTGTACATGCACCTGCGTGAGTACATTAGTACTCTTATTCAGTGCTTGGGTTTTATATGGGGTGTTTAATGAATAAAAGATTTACAGCCTGTGAAATTATGAACCCTTATTGTATACTGTATGTATTTTAAATCTGCAATTCAATATAAAATATATTTTCATACACTACTTACCTTATGTTTACTCGTCAATCTCACCAAAGCCATCAATATCTCCATAAGTCACTATCAACAAATAACTTTGCATGACATAGGCCTAAAGTCAGGGTTCAATGTAGATTAAAACAGGCTCACATCTTTACTGCTGTTGCACAGGGGGGCTAACTGTTGCATTTCAGTAAATGTATAGCTGATGCTTTATAGAAAAATGTAGCAATTTGGTCTTCAATCAATAAAAACTGTTGCTGTAGTTTACTCTGTTCTTAGTGTTCACGTATACACTAGTGTGTTAAAGTTCACCTTCTTCCCTCTTTGTTCCCTGTAGTTAAAGGGTAAATACAGTATTTGTTCCCTCCTTGTTCCCTGTACTTACAGGGTAAATACCACATTTGAGGGTTGTAAATTAAAGTGAAGCATTGTTCCTCTCTTGTTACCCCCTTGTTCCCTGTACTTACAGGGTAAATACCACATTTGAGGGTTGTAAATTAAAGTGAAGCATTGTTCCTCTCTTGTTACCCCCTTGTTCCCTGTACTTACAGGGTAAATACCACATTTGAGGGTTGTAAATTAAAGTGAAGCATTGTTCCTCTCTTGTTACCCCCTTGTTCCCTGTACTTACAGGGTAAATACCACATTTGAGGGTTGTAAATTAAAGTGAAGCATTGTTCCTCCCTTGTTACCTGTTAAAGGGTAAATACAACATTTGTTCCCCCCTTGTTCCCTTTAGTTTACAATGTAAAATCTTGAAGGCAGTAAAATAAATATACAAACACACAATATATTTCTTTTTTACTTCGTAACCTTTATTTTAATAAATAAGCATTTTAAAACACTTCATATTAATCAAACATTGTCTTGTCTATCATTGCCTATACTCATTCATTTTCTCTTCGGCTTTGTCCTTTTGTTAATCTGGGGTCGCCACAGTGGAATGAACCACCATCTTATCCAGCATATGTTTTACGCAGTGGATGCCCTTCCAGCTGCAACCCATCTCTGGGAAACATCCATACACACCCATTCACACGCATTCACTACGAACAATTTAGTCTACCCAATTCACCTGTACCGTATGTCTTTGGACTGTGAGGGAAACCGGAGCACCCGGAGGAAACCCACGCGAACGCAGGGAGAACTCCACGCAGAAACGCCAACTGACCCAGCCGAGGCTCGAACCAGCAACCTTCTTGATGTGAGGAAACAGCACTACCTACTGTGCCACTGTGTTGCCACCCAGCTGCAACCCATCACTGGGAAACATCCATACACACTCATTCACACACATACACTACGGACAATTTTAGCTTACCCAATGTCACCACATATTTTTGGACTTGTGGGAGCACCCGGAGGAAACCCACGCTAACATGGGGAGAACATGCAAACTCCACACAGAAATGCCAACTGACCCAGCCGAGGCTCGAACCAGTGACCTTCTTGCTGTGAGGCGATTGTGCTAGCCACTGCGCCTGCCTATACTCAAACAGCAAAATAACACATTATTTCCTTCCCCCTTTTTTTTCTGGCATCTCTTGCTTGGCTTCCTCTTCTGCTCTTCTCAGCTTCCACTGAGGACTCTGATGGTGAGTGGCTGATGAAATCCCATGGGTCTTGCTGCTCTGCATTTATATAAAATATATGAACAGACATAAAGGCTTTTAGTAAGCTATAGACATGTTTATTTTGCTGTTTAATGTGTGTGTGGTGGTTGTCCAACAATTTCACATACTAAATATTTACAGATACCATATAGAAACTATACATTACTATCAAACAAAAGTACTATCATCAGATCATATGGGAGATTGTGATCATTTATAGTGATCATAATTAAAGTGCAAAGGGGAAAGGCTTAAATATATGTGCAGGCATTACAGACTTAGAAGTAAAGATTATTTGCAGTTCAGTGTACATATTTAAATTCTGTGTTACTCATTAAATGGTAAGTAAATGTAACGTTTGGGTGAACTACCCCTAAGGTTAGTTTTTGATTAAGTACATGTCTTAACCCATCATTAGTCCTAAATAAAGTGAAAGATATCATAATATGGTTGATGTACTGTTATGGTCCCTTTTTACATTTCAGCGCAGTGAATGAGAAAGTACAACACAATTTTTTTACAATCTTCTTTGCTCAAATTAAATGAAAACTTTATGATGGTGTTGTCTTGACAATTAGAAAAAGAAAAAAAATTGCGTGAAACTGATAAGAACAGAAAATAACATCTAATTTACTCTAATTTACTCATGTCCATAGACACTGTTTGAAACACCTCGCACACGTAATCATATTATATAATACATACGTAAATACAAACAAATGTTATTTTTTTAAAAATATCATATAAAAAACTCAAGGATTTTAGATGCTGATGATCGTTAAACGCGTCATAACAGTATTGTGGAAAGGGTGTATTGTTAAAAATAGGTACAAACATCAGATAGAAACAAAAACCTAAA